ATGCATGTGTTCAATGACTAATACTTAAATAGCCACAATTTTTAGTTGTTCATTATAGTGAAATAGGTGGGGACCACTTCTCTGCAGCTCAGCTACCCTTCCCAACCTCACAGGGCAGCTCATTCCACAACTGGGCAGTAACTGGGCAGTTGTAGCTGTCAGTCAATATTCCTGCCTCATTTTAAGTTTCACCCATTTCCTCAGATTTCCATTCTCGTACTGTTTCTGCTTTCGGGAGATCTTGCAGAGAGAAGGGCTAGTATTAAAGTTACCTCTTTCATAAATCAGATTAGTTCTGGATGTGCTACGTTTGTGTATTTCTATTTAAAAGTTACTTTGTCCTTTTTGTAGTCTCCTGATTGGAAGAGGGAAAATCCATTTAAGCAGAAGTTTGGTGACAGGGACTCATTGTTTTATAAACCTAGAGGTCGGCACTTCTGTCTTTCTTCACCCCACCTCCCCGCAGAGTGTGGAGTCTGTGTTGCCTGCTGCTCAGATGTTTGCTGTTCATTTGCCAGTCATGTCCTCCGTGCTGCAAGGACACGAGTGCAACCCGGAGTGGGTATTGAGGTTTGCAATGGAATGAACTGTTGGCGTCCCAGGAACCATGGAGCCTGTGGTTTAAGAGCATCAGAGTCCCACCTGCCAGGGGCCTTTCAAGGAGGAGGCTCCTCTGTGGGAAGAAACTCCTCCACCATTTTTCCAATGAGCCTGTTTGTTGGGCCAGAGTGCAGCTCACATTCCCACCCCTTGGCTTAGGCAGATCTTTTCTCTCAGATTTCAGAACTGTCGCTCACTCCAGAGCTGGGCCTCTGAGCAGCCACATTGTTCCCTCGGTTTCCTGGGTGCTGGCAGGCAACGAGGCTATCTTTTCTCCCACGGCCGACAGGAATTGACAGGGACTTGGAGGCTACCAGCCCTCCATGTACTCATCTTCACAATGAAGAGTATGCTTTCTTCTTAATGTGCAGCTTGCGTACAGTGGGTCACCCACCCATGCAGTGATTCACTCTCTTCTCAAGGACGCTCACCAAGGTTTCAGGCAAAACATTCCAGTGCCAGGCGCAGGGCGTGGGTAGGGAGGGGAAAGGTGAATAGTCCCTGCCCCTTGGGAGCTTCCAGACAGGAGAGAGGATGAGTGGAGTAAATGTCCTCCATATCACACGGGGCTTCCCAGGTGGCGCAATGGTAAAGAATCTGCCTGCGAATGCGGGAGATGCAAGAGACAGGGGTTCAGTCCCTGGGTTGGGAAGGTCGCCTGGATTAGGAAATGGCAACCCACTCCAGTATTCTTGTCTGGGAGATCCCACGGACAGCCTGGCATCCCATGGTCCATGGGGTCACAAAAGAGTAGGACCCAACTGAGCAACTGAGTGTGCGCATGCGCACACACACACACATACACACACACTCACACATCCATATCATATATTTGTATTTGAAAGTCCAAAACATTGTGGGATCACGTCAGCAGTTTTATCGGTGCAGGAAAAAGCACTGAGAGGAAGTGATAAATAAAAGGCTCAAGGAGATTAACTGACTTCAGTCTTACAGTGCTAGTAAACAGAAGAGCTGGAAATCTAAGTCTTTTCCAATGGGTTATCATCCAATCAAACATGGTAAATGTTAAAGACATTCATGAACAAAGGGATGAAGGATTGTGGAAGGACCATCTGAGAGAGTCAGGGGAGATATCTTAATGTTTAAAGTAGGTTTTACAGAGGGGGTCTGAGTCTGTCATGGGCAAAGGTGGAAGAAGTGCATTCTTGAAACACGGAATGGAATAGTGCGTGCAAAGCTCGGCATGGAAAGATTATGGTGTGTTTGGAAAACAGCAAAGAGCAGATGAGGCTAAAATAATTTTAGTTGGCAGAATGGAGGATGGAAAGAGTAGAGATGGATTAGAGACAGGAGACCCAGGTAGGAGTCTGTCCTAGTAATGAGCCAAAAGTTATTGAGATCTCAGGACTAAGGAAGGAACAATGAGAATGAAGACAAGAAGTTGGATTCAAAAAATATTTTGAAAGTAGCATAAACAGAATTTGACAAGGGAATAGTTGTTGCAGAAAGATCCTGCAGTGAATGCAGTCCAGAGTTTAGGAGATTTGGGGGTGTGTGTGTGATGATCCCATTAAATGAGATGGCAAACATAGGTGGTAAAACAGTTTTGGGATGTGAAAAAAATAGTGGAACACGGAATTGATGGCAAATTCTGGGAGAAGCACCAAATTCATGCCTGTGAGTAAATGGAAGTGAAGATGAGACTTAACTTTATCTCTAACACTTTATTATTTTTAAAAAATAACTTGAAGCAATGTGAATATCTGTGGTGGTACACACAGTGCTTATATTAGTTTCTGTGGTTTTTACTTTTTTAAAAGGAATGCCTGGAGTTCTTTAAAAGAAAGTAAGTAATGTATCGAGCATTTGGAGTAGCTACTATGTACTTGGCACTGTTCCAGGTACTTGAGCTATAATATTTGCTCCCTTCCTCTAGTGGCCTCTTCCTTTCAGAAGTTAGCCCGCTGGAGTTCAGAATCAGCTTCTGGTTCCAGCTTGACCACAGGCAAATCAATTTTCCTCCCTGGGTTTCTTTCAGCTCTCACATCCTACAATTCAATACGAGCTGCACCTTGTACTCCTTATTCTCACTGACGTGAGCCCCAGGGTACAGTCCATTGGTATAAAATAAGTCCACTGGGGAGTGTAACTAAGGGCTGACCTAAGCACGTGTTCCAAATGGTCCTTTCTACCTCTGCCTCCCACCCAACCCCATCCCAGGACAGCAGAGTTTCCTCATGGGATTTCCAATTTGCGAGGGAAACTTGATAATTTCTTTGGTAATGGGCTATGTCCTAATTCCAATCTCATCAACAGAAGCAACTTTTGTACATTCAACTTTAGACGCCATGGAGAGAACAGTTACTAAACAAAAATTCCTGCCTTCATACTGTTTACATTTTGGTGAATGGAGACATCAAGAAAAAATAATAACAATAAAAAGAGGACACAGCGTGTCACTACAGGGCAAGGCAATGCAAGGTGAGTAGTAAAATGCTAGTGCTCTGACTCCTATAAAACCTAATTCCTAATCCCTAAATTCTTCTTTTTAAACTACTAGAATCTAGATGCTTTATTTAAAAAAATTTTTTTTATATAAAATATTTGTTCATTGCTGTGCAGGCTTTCTCCCGTTACGGCCAGAAGGGGCTACTCTCTGGTTGCGGTGCATGGGCTGCTCATTGCAGTGGCTTCCCTTGTGGCATAGCAGGGGGCTCCAGGGCACGCACACTTTGGTAGGAGGCACATGGGCTCAGTAGTTGCGATTCCCAGGCTCTAGAGCAGAGGCTCAGTAGTGGTTGCATACAAGCCCAGCTACTCCAAGGCACTTGGGATCAGGGATCAAACCCTTGTCTCTGGCATTGGTGGGCAAGCTCTTTACCACTGAGCCACCAGGGAATTCCCTAGAATCTAGATACTTTATTGAAAAGGAAAAATTATTTCTAAGGAAAAATTCATAGAAGTAGGATTGTTTGAAGAAAGAACAGATGTATTTTGAGATTTCTGAGAAAGGAGCAGTGACATTTTACACCCCTTCACGATGTATCAGAATGCCAATCCCCTCCTGCTACTGCCACATGTTATTGATTGGTGCCAATTTTATTGACTGGAAAAGGGATCTCTTTGTTGCTTTTATTCACATTTATTTGATTGCTAGTGATGTTGAAACAGTATATCCAGTAGTGAGACAGAGCTGGAAGTGAGGGAGAAAGAGAAAGTCTTCCTTTTTTAAGGTTTACATCCTGATTAATGTTATTAAAATGTGTAAAAATAATTTCTGATAAAACTCTCCCCTTTTAAACTAACCTGTCTGTTCCACAACCCCTTTTCTATTTAATTATCTCTCTATTTTGACAAATTTCAGATTTCTAGATGGATCTGGAGGCAAAAGGCATAAAGTGAGGCCTAAGAGATTGGGAACCTTAGGATTACATTGAATCAACTAGTACATTTCCTTTTCTTTTGCTCCTCTTCTCCCAAATGTTAGATTATGAATTAGATACATATATATTGTTATAATTCTACTCTACTTTTATAGAAAAGTCAAAAACTCCTACTAAATTTTAAAATACTTTTGTATTGTTGCTTTAGTGGTAATAAAACACAAAGAAACCACCATTGGACAAAGAAGGTTAATGGGAAACTGTTTCTCTTCATGTGTTTCAGCAGCTTGTATATAGTAAACATTTTTTAAATGTAGAAAGAATGAATTAAGAAGAAAGCAAATGAATGTTTACTTGAAACATCTGAATGCTAGCCTGGGAAAAAAATAATTCATAACCAAGTAGGAAAATCTTAACTGGTTTAAGTTTATGTCTTTTTTTAACTTGAAAGGTTAGAAGTTTGATTCATTAGAGACTCAATTAGTAAAATATTAATTTAGAAAAGATACAATGATTTTCACATTGTCCAATATTGTGTATGTTTAAGTGCCAATGTTGCTTGTCAAAAGCAAATCCAGGTGTTTGGTGGAAGACTGCTATTGAACATCAGTTACTATGGCTTAGTTAGTAATTAGAATAATTACCTGTGGTGAGAAAAATCACTCAAAATATTATCAAAGAATAACCTACTCTGATGGATATGCATTACTGCAGATATTTATCGATGTGTTATACCTAAACGTAAAATTAGCTCTCAAGCTTGCAATCTTATATGTTTAGAAACAGAATCATTATAGCAAAAATGTAAATTACAAAGTCACTTCAAAAAATAATTAATATTTGCCTAAAACCTAAATTCTTCCGGGTCACTGTTGGGTTACCATCCTCTTCCCCTGCATAGTTTTCATACTCCGCCCACGGCCCACCTTCTTGCCACGCCCACGCTCCTGACGTCAAATTTCCGTGCCGAGCCGCATTGACCTAGCCAATCGAAAGCCGCACAACTGCACGAGCCCCATTAAGCCCCGCCCCGTGAGTCGACTCAAGGCTATTACGATGGGGCCCGGCAGCTTTGTGGCGCTGCGGCTCGGGGCGCAGATGTGCCGCAGGGCCGTTTTTCCCCGCGCTTGGCCCGCGGCTGGTGCCGGGGGTCGGCTTCGGCTGCTGGCCGTGGGAACGCCTACGGCGAGGGCAACACTCAGCAGGGCCTGCCTGGCCCCGGACCGAGCGCGCGGCCTGCACGGCGGGCCAGGCCTGGAGGAGCAGGCCGAGGGGACAGCCGGCGAGGGACTCCCGGAGTCTGGCACCGCAGGTACGGTGATGGAGAGGGGAGGCGGGTCCTGTTGAGTCTTCTTTCTGTATTTTTCTCGGGGTCACAAAACTTTTACAAAGCAGAACCGGAAGGGCCTGCAAAGGTTGTTGGCACCAGCTTTGCATTTCACAGTGAGACCAAGAGATGAACTGAATCAGTCTCCGAAACCCCGGGCGTCCGTCTGAACAGCTACGCCGGACTCTTGGCATTACACCCTTAGCGTCCTCATCTCCCTTCACTCTCTTCCTAGGGTCCCGAGAAATGGACTTGTTAAGAGTGTTGGGGCGTGAGAATTCTGAGGAGGAGCTGGGGGCTGCGGTCTAAAGGGTGCAGTAAGAAGCGCTAATAGGAGATATGGCCAATTTAAGGGCCTCTGATTTGTGTAAGTTTTTAGACGGTTGAGAGATGGTAAACAGATCACACCTGTGAAAATATGAGAGGGAGAGGTTAACATCTAGCGCCTTGGAAGTCAGCTTTAAAGCTTAAGAGAACCGTATCCAGAAGCTATAACACATCACGGTGATAATCCGAGAATCTAAATCTCCGGGGGGCGGATTTTAACAGATAACAGTTGTTACATAGCCCAAATGGCATTGTAAGAAAAACTTGAGAGTTCAGGATGAGAACTGCTGTTAACTTCTAGCCCTCGATTTGGTAGATCTGGGGCCACACATACTTGGCTGCCTCTGAGTTTCTCAGATGAAGGTTGTGGGCCGGGTACTACCCAAGAGCCCTTCCAGTTCCCAGTGCTAGTTCTGTGACCCTTTCTGGCTGGAATTCAGTTTAATATGCCCCAGGGTATTACCACCTCCCCAAATTGTGCTTCGGTTTTCCTCTCTTTGTGCAGCAGTTCTCTGCTTGAGCAGTGTTACTTGTTTCCTCAAGTACTGGAACAGAAGCGGTTATTGCTGGTGTATGGTACTACTTGCATTTGCTAATAGGAAAGGATGTGGTGGCTCTCTGTGACCTGAGCACATTCCCAGAAAAGTCGAGCAGTGCTCTATGAAGCCAGAGCCCACATTCAACTTCCAGGAGGCAAAACATTTACAAAACATTTCAGATCTGAGCACTCTCCCAGAGGATCATTTTCGCTGTCAGCGGCCTGCATTTCTGAGTGCACAGCATGTCTGTCTTCACTTAGCCACCTGACACAACCAAATATTTTGTGTTTCAGATCACGCTGGTCCCAAGTTTGACATCGATATGCTGGTTTCACTTCTGAGGCAAGAAAATGCAAGAGACATTTGTGTCATCAAAGTTCCTCCAGAAATGAAATATACAGATTACTTTGTGATTGGTAGTGGCACTTCCACTCGACACTTACATGCCATGGCCTACTACATTGTGAAAATGGTAGGATGCTTTCTTTTTCTTTAAAATCTTTAACTTAATGGAATGGTGTCAATGCATCAGACTGAAGAGCAGCACTTGAAAACTAAACCCATCACAGAGATTATATGAGAAACCCAGAATTGGCACAAGTGTTTATGTTCTTTGATGGTGAAAAAGTTATGAGGACCAATATCTAGCCTTAGTGGGTCAGGCTATTTCATATTCTTGTCTCTGTGCCAAGTAACCTGAGGCAGACTAGAATACAGTATTACTGAGGGGTTTCTGGAGCAAAACTGCCCAGTTACCCACCAGCCCTATGTGATTGTGTAATTATAAATTAAAACTAAAAATTCAGTTCTTCAGCTGTACTAGCCACATTTCAGGTGCTTGGTGGCCACATGTGGCTTATTTGTACTGAACAGCGCAAATATAAAACATTTCCCCAGTTGCAGAAAGTTCTGTTGGATAGTGCTGGCCTAGAGTTTAATTCAAATGAAAAGATTTAGTCCTTGTCTTCTGAATTCACAAGTCTAGTTGAGGAAAGTAAAGGTAGTTCATTTTCCAACTAGACTGATTAGGAATCAGAATGAGGAAGAAAATATATTTGGAAGCTGATTCTGATACCACTCTAGAGGGAAACATACTTCTTTCACCCTGTTGAAAATTAGTCATGGAGGGGACAGTCAAGACTAAAAGAGGACCTGGGATTGCCTTAGAGAAGAGTGGCAAAATACGGAGACTGAGAACAAAACCCTGGTGCAACAGGGGAGAACAAAGGAAGATTCTTAAAAATGGGGTAGTTGGAGAGAGAGAGCGAGCTAGGAGGCCATGGAGGAAAAAGGGTCTCTGTCAGATGCAGTAGTAGAATAGAGTAAGACTTAGAAGTGACCATTGAACTTGGAGATATAAAAAGAATGAGAGATTTTTCAGAGAAAGTTTCTGTGGAAGAGCAAGGGAGGGGAATAGAAATGAGTTTTACAGAAAGTTTAGGTGAGAAGGGAGAAAAGGGCAAAGTCAAGAAAGTTTTGTTGTTCTTGTTTATGGTAAAACGTATACAACACGAAACTTAACATTTTAGTCATTTTTAGGTGTGCAGTTAAGTGGCATTAGTTACATTCACATTGTTGTAGGAAGGTTACCACAATCCATCTCCAGAACATTTTTCATCTTGCAGAAAACTCTGGACACGTTAAACCAGAACTCCCCATTCTTCCTTCCCCTAGCCTCTGGCAGCACCATTCTGCTTTCCGTCTCTGAACTTGACTAATAAGTACCTCCTTGAGTGGAATCATACTTTTATCTGCCCTTTTGACTTACTTCATGTAGCATAATATTTTTCAAGGTTTTTCTGTGTTGTCGCATGTGTTAGAATGTTCTTCTTTTTAAGGCTGGATATTTATTTTAATGTATGTGTACACCATATTGTATCTTATCCATCCAAATGGTGGGCATTTGGGTTGCTTCTGCCTTCTGACTATTGTGAATAATGCTGCTATAAACATGAGTTCATGTTCCTGCTTTTAATTTCAGAAGTGAAATTGCCAGATCATGGTGATGCTATGTTTAATTTTATGAGGAACTATCATATTCTTTAACATAGTAGCTATACCACTTTATGTTCCCACCAGCAGTGCACAGGTGTTCAGATTTCTCACCACTTGTTATTTTCTGCTTTGTTGATAAATGAGTCTGAAAGTGTGAAAGTGTTAGCTGCTCAGTGGTGTCCAGCTCTTTTTGACCCTGTGGATTTTAGCCCGCCAGGCTCCTCTTTCCATGGGATTCTCCAGGTAAGAATCTTGGAATGGGTTGCCCTTACTTTCTCCAAGGGATCTTCCCTAACCAGGGATCGAACCTGGGTCTCCCGCATTGCAGGCAGATTCTTTACTGTCTGAGACAGTCTAAGGATCATGAAGTAGTACTCCTGATTTTGATTTACTTTTCCCTGATAATCAGTGAGGTTGAGCATCTTTTCACATGGTTGTGAGCCCATTTGCAGTACTTGAATACAGTCCTTTGTCCATGTTTTAATTTGTGTGTGTGAAGTTGCGGGAGTTCTCTGCATATTCTGGATATAAACCCTATGTCATGTATGTGATTTGCAAATATTTTCTCCTGTTCTATAGGTTGCCTTGTTACTCTGATAGTGTCTTTTGATGCACAGAAGTTTTTAACTTTTTCTATCCTTGCCTTTGGTCTCATATCCAAGAAATAAATGCCAACTCCTGTGTCGTGAGGCTTTCCCCACCATGTTTTCTTTGTTTTGGCTGTGTTGCATTGCAGGTGGGATCTTAGTCCCCTGACCAGGGATCGAACGCACACCGCTTACGGTGAAAGCTTTGGGTCTTAACCACTGGACTGCCAGGGAAGTTCCTCCACTGTTTTCTTCTAAGGGTTGTATAGTTTTAGGTTTCATGTTGAAATCTTTGGTACATTTGAATTCGTTTTAGTAAACGGTGTAAGATCTTACATGTGGGTATATAGTTTTCCCAACACTATTTGTTGAAAGGACTGTCTTAACCCTGTTGAGTGGACTTGGCACCCTTGTTGAAAAAAACATTTGAACATATGGGCTCTTTATTGAATTGGCCTGTAAGTCTGTCTTGAACACTGTTTTGATTACTGTAGCTGTGTAATAAGTTTTTTTTTTTAAGTTTTTTAATTAGGAAGCTTGAGATTTCAACTGTGCTCTTGCCTTTTAAAATTGTTTGTGGCTATTTGGGGTCCCTTTAGATTACATATGCATTTTATGGTAGATATTTCTGTTTCTACAAAAGAAAAAAAGTTGTGGGATTTATAGGGGTTGATTGTATTGACTCTGTAGATGGTCTTCACAATATTGTGTTCCAGTTCATGGGTATAGGGTATCTATTTGTTGGTGTCATCTTTGCGGTGTTGTGTAGTTTTCAGTGTACAAGTCTTGCTCCTTTGGTTATGTTTATTTCTAAGTATTTTATCCTTTTTTATTCTGTTGCAAACGGGATTGTTTTCTTCATTTCTCTTTCAGGTTGCTTATTAAGTATACAGAAACACAAGTGATTTGGGGATGTTGATTTCATATCCTGCAACTTTGCTGAATCCATTTTTTCTAACAGGTTTTTTTGGGTGCAGTCTTTATGGTTTTATGGTATAAGATCATGTCATCTGCAAACTGAGATAGTTTTATTTCTTCCTCTCCAGTTTGGTTACTTTTTTCTTTTCCCTTGCTCAAATTGCCATGGCTAGAACTTCCAGTCCTGTGTTGAATAGAAAGTGGCAGAAGAGGGCATTCTTGTCTTGTTCCTGATCTGAGAGGTAAAACTTTCAGTTTTTGTCATTGAGTTTGATGATAGCTAATAGCTGTGGGCTTTTCATATGTGGCCTTTATTATCTTGAGGAGATTTTTTTAGTCTTTGTTGAGTTTTCCTCATGAAAGGGTACTGAGTTTTGTTAAATGGTTTTTCTGCATGTATTTGAGATGATTGTATGGTTTTTGTTCTTCATTTTGTTAATATGGTTTATTACATTGACTGACTTTCACGTGGAAACGTCCTTTCCAGAGATAAATCCCCTGTGGTCTTGGTGTGTTATTCTTTTAATGTGGTGTTGAATTTGGTTTGCTGGTGTATTGATCTGCAGTTTTTTTCTTCCACCAGGTAAGCCCCACATATACATATATGCACTCTTTCCTAGGTCATTACAGAGTCTTATGTGGCATTCCTGTGCTGCAAGTAGGTTGTTGCTGGTTATTTTATAGTACTGTCTGTGTGTCAGTCCCAGTCGCCTGATTTATCCCTCTCCCGTCCTCTTAATGATATTTTCATTTTTTCTTTAATTGGGGTATAATTGCTTTACAATGCTGTGTTGCTTTCTGTTGTACAACTAAGTGACTCAGTTATAAGAATACAACCCATCACCTCCCTCTTGACCCTCCATCCCACCCCCTAGGTCACCACAGAGTGCTGAGATGAGCTCCCTGCACAGGTGGGACCTTCCTGCAGGTTCCCACTAGCTAGCTCTTTTACCCATGGTAGTGTATACATGTCAATCCCAATCTGCCAGCTCGCCCCACCCCTACTTCCCCCTCCCCATCCACCATGTGTGCGCCCCTCTCTTCTCCACACCTCCGTCTCTGTTCCCGCCGGCAGATGGGCTCACCTGCATTCCACATGTGTGCCTTAACACACAGTACTTCTTCCTCTCTCTGACCTCCTGCACTCTGTACCGTAGACTCTAGGTCCGTCCCCATCACGAGTGGTGGCCCGGCCTCGCCCTTCTTTGTGACTGAGTGACATCCCGTCGTGTGATTGTACCACATCTCAGTCCGTTCATCTGTCGCTGAGCATCCAGGCTTCTGGGTCCTGGCTGTTGTAAACAGTGCTGCAGTGAACACTGGGGTGCATGAGTCTTTTGAGTTATGGTTTTACCAGGTTATGTGCCCAGTAGTGGAATTGCTGGGTCACATGGTAGTTCTAGTTTTAGTTTTTCAAGGAATTTCCATACTGTTCTCCAGAGTAGCTGTGTCAACTTAAATTCCCACCGACAGTGCAAGAAGGTACCCTTTTCTCCACACCCTCTTAGACATTAAATGCTTGTAGATTTTTTGATGATGGCCATTCGGAAGTGTGAGGTGATGCCTCATTGTAAGTTTGACTTGCGTTTCTCTAATAATGAGTGAAGTTGAGCATCTCTTCATGTGTTCATTGGCCATCTGCACGTTTTCTTTGGAGAAATGTCTGGTTAGGTCTTCTGCCATTTTTTGATTGGGTTGTTTTTTTTTTTTTTTTCATATTGAACTGCATGAGCTACTTGTTTACTTGGGAGATTAATCCTTTGTCACTTGTGTCCTTTGCAAATATTTTCTCCCATTCTGAAGGTTCTCTTTCTGTCTTGCTTATGGTTTCCTTTGCTGTGCAAAAGCTTTTAAGTTTAATTAGATCCCATGTGTCTTCTATTTTTCTTTTCATTTGCATTAATCTAGGAGGTGGATCAAAAAAGTTATTGGCTATAATTTATTTAGTGTTCTGCATAGTTTTCTTTTCTCT